CATGCCTGTCAAAGCAGCTTAACACAATGCGCGGTGGCATTTAAACATGACACAAGTATGTAGTCAAACAAACAGGAATGTCTCAGAAAATTCCGTTTAAAATGCAAAAAAGGGCAGTGCTTATTCAAAGAACATAATTATGATATCTGTAATAGCGTTTAAATTAAATTTTACAGCAAGAGAAAAAAATAGCGTGCATCAAAATTAAACGTCTGTGTATTTTTAACGCGGTGTTGATTTTATCTAAACTAATTTTAATATACTTGTGTAAGTTTTCAAAGGTCTGTCTAGATTTAGGGCATTAATCATAAATACTTGGCTTATTCCTTCTTGCGACGAAAATAACTTGATATCAACCCCCCCCCCTCCCTATCATTCTTACTTTGAATCACGTATATGAAAACATACTTTTCTTTCTATACGTCTAACTGTAGCGTCCCGAGACTTTCTGAAGACGAAAGAAGACACAATACTCAGACAGAACATATACATATTCAGCGCAGAGAAGGTGTCTGGGCTAGTGGCATGGCCCAAAAGGCCAGCCCACCCAGCGAGGAACAAGGGGCTAATCCAAAGTCCAAACAGTGACGCCTCACCAGAACCGAGGGATAAACCACTGTCGTATTACATAGCCTCTCTCCTCTTTTGAGCCTCATCCCCGGCGCTCCATCAGGCCAACCTCCCGCGTCAGCCATTGCAACGCAGTCAGTGCAGTAAAGAAACACCCACGAGCCGACCATGACAGTCACCAAATTAGCACGCAACTGAGGGGCTACTTGAACTCAACGCCGTTGATCCCTCTTGGCAGCTTAACTGGATCTTGATATCAACCCCCTATCATTCTTACTTTTGAATCGCGTATATGTAAACATACCTTTCTTTCTATAAGTCCAACATATTTGTTTAAAATAAGAGTAGTCTATGTGTAAACAATGCATCTGTAGAACAGTGAATCGGGCAGAGCTAAGCTAGTGTACTTATTTGCTCGAAAATTGTGTTTGCCTAGTCTTTACCTCTTTTCCTCCTTATCTAGTCCAGTGGACCATACGTTGCTGTCGAATGCCTAAATGTGATGAAGTCTTCACCAGGGTGCTATTGGCAACACCACGTTCTAACAAGAATGACTGGTTTAGGCCTTGGTGACATATCTTCGCCTTCTTTCGCAGAATACGTACGATTGTATGGCTTTTTAAGTGGAAAAAATACAACATAAGGAAAACAAAGAAGACCGACCTCAAAATAATATTTGGATTTAAAGTATTAATTCAATTTGATTTCCGGCTACTTCTCATGTGCGCATTTGAACAAGTAAATAAGTGCGAGAGAAACATTGCTTGTTTACTCAAAGCGTGTGCATATATTTCTTTGAGTTTCTGTCAATCCTCTCTACCACAAAATACATTGAGTATTGGGTAGTTGCCGGATACATTATTTTGCCAAATTTAAGGGTATTACTTTCCCTCTCAACAATGCAACAGCCCTTGTTAGGTCAATGGTCATTTTTTAATACGAGAGAACATCAGAATCCCAAGTAAGTGTCAAAGGATTTGAAAGGGAGGTGTGTACTAGTACTAGCTAATGAACGATCGCAATTTGCTCCTTTCTAACTATATTGGTAAATTCAGCGGATTTTAGCGTCAATTTTGCCGCATTATGTTTAGCAGAAGCCAAAACAGGCAGTCTTTTCGCAACAGATGGCAAATTTCAAAGTAGGCAGCCTTATACGTGGGTCTGGTTCAAGCAGTGATTACTCTGCGAATGTCATAAGAAAATTTAAATAGGTGCAGGAAATAGTTCTTCAGTAAATTTATGGTGGGTAGAACCAAAC